GTGATATTTCACAGTAATAAAGAAGTATTTGGTTCATAACTGGGTCGTATGGGGTAGTATTGGGTGGTATGGGCACGGTGATCTAATCTGATTCCGTGGTATGGGGTAGTATTGGGTCATAGTCACGGCATTTCGGTGATGTTTTCGGCACCAAATCGCATATTTCCGTATAAAATATGGCAGATGGAAGTAAATAACGTCTACAAAGGTGATATTTCACAGTAATACAGAAGTATTTGGTTCATAATTGGGTCGTATGGGGTAGTATTGGGTAGTGTTGGGTAGTATTGGGTCATAGTCACGGCAATTCGGTGATGTTTTCGGCACCAAATCGCATATTTCCCGATAAAATATGACAGATGGAAGTAAATAACGTCTTCAAAGGTGATATTTCACAGTAATAAAGAAGTATTTGGTTCATAACTGGATCGTATGGGGTAGTATTGGGTGGTATTGGGTAGTATTGGGTAGTATTGGGTAATTAGACGCGCCCCTTTCAAAGAACAACCAAGAATAAGTAACATATTCTCTCTCCCGTCGTGTCATGCCATTATTGGTAACTACGACGTACACGATGTAAATGTAAATGTAGCGTCTCCGGAAACTAAACCCGAGAGTAAAATACGATATATATAATCACATTGGTCTTATTTTACTGGTGTTACCATGTACGTGTGGCTGAAAGAGGCGTCCTTTTCGTGGTTTTAGAAAGATGTCAATATTGCACTAAGATCGTCATCACGCTGTCGTGTAACTTCCTGTAAACCGACTATTCTAACATTACGGTCCGTGCAGCTTGGGATGTCCGGAAATACGAAACCTAAAAATGTATCATTATAATATATATGATACTAAACTAGGTACAGCATGCAAGTTTACATGTATTTACAATCAATTTAAAATCATATTTCAAGTATCATGTTTGTTTGTTCCAACCTTTTTTTATCATTTCTATGCTTAGTTTTTTTTACCATTTCTTGTGATACCATGTTTCTATGCTTTTAATTCCTTTCATTTTTTTGCTTAGTGCTCTCATTTACGCATTGTATGACTTACTCAATGCTTGTCAAATCATCTTTTAATTTATGCTATATTAGCATATATTCGGTCAATTTTTAACTCATGCCATATTGGCATTTATGTATATTTCTTAGTTTGTGAGCATGTGGCAACATCAATTTTAATATAGATTTTTATATATACTTTTTTCAGTACGTCCCAAGTTTGTTTCTAATTAATGCATGCATATATGCTGTGATTTAATTTTTTCTTGTCTGTGTGTGTATAAACCTTGCTATATGCCTGTTGTTTTTTGCATGTTGTCTTATATATCCTGTTTTTATACATTTGTTTGTCGTAATAATAGCTCTACAGAGCTAATGGTTCCATTACAACATATACGACTCTAAATAAAAATTCTTGTATCTTCAAATGACATTACATGACCAGGAGCGGATCCAGGATTTCTTGTAAAGAAACCGAAGAAACCACGACCCTCCAATATATAAACTTAAGCCTAACGCTATCGTTTCAATGAAAGGAGATGATGGCCAGAATGTTCCATATCCTTTAACGTATGCTGTGATACATACATCATTCAAACCTACGCGGCCTAGTGACATATACGGGCATCAACTGTAATTTCCCGTGGTCAGCATTGTTAAAGTCTTGTTGATGTCCAGCTGTCCACCATCAACATCTTCGTGCCATTCATTGCAAGATGCCGTCTTTTACGGTTCGAGAGTTGGTCGCTGCTAAACAGGACGTTTTATCTAAGTTTATGGAGAATGTTGAATTCAGCGCTTCTACTTCAGATGAGTTTCACAGAGGAAAAGGGTTGATAAAGGAATTTTATTATGTATCTTTTCCTAGTGAGTTACGTTGGTGCAAGATACCGCTTTCTGATTTTAGGATACAATAATTATTATATGCAGGGGTTATTTGTCTGTCTCAAAGTATTTTTGTCTAAAATATATTGCCCCCATGAATGAGAAAAGTGAATATTAGCAAAAGTGTGCGGATTTTAGACAGTTAAAATACGGAACAATTATTGTTTCATATGCCCCGCACAGAATAGACGATGTCCTTTCGAGTGGATCAGGATAGAAATATTATTCGAAGTTGGAGTGAAAGTCCACTTTGGGTTTAATAGGATGCCCTTCGGTCTTACATAATGCGTAAGTTATATTTCAGGGCTTGATAGAGAATTACATAGGTCTTCTTCTTTTTCTGCATCTTCTTCCTCTAAAACTGAGCCGAATGTCTATGATCGATTTACATTTTACGGATGTATGTCAAGGTGATGCCAACAGTCCCCCTTTTTGACTGCTTTTGCTCCAGCTTAGTATGCAAAGGTACAGGTTCCTTCCAGTGTCACATTTGCGACTACATGGGGTTAAAGGTTACCACCACAGCATCAATACCTGGTGCGAGGGTAGCATTTTATTTGCTCATGAAATAATCTTTGCAGTTGTCTTCATGGGAGGTATCGCTCGACACAAAAAGTCCCACCATTACTCGAATGTCTTGACCAATCTGTGAAATCTCGGCATTATACCCGTACCATTCCTCACGGGATACGAACTAAAAAAAAACGTTCAGGTAGCATTGCCCAGGAAATGACGTAATTATCCGACCTGACCGGACATTACGTACAGATATATAAAAGCACACGAGTTCCCGACTCGAAAAGCTCATACCATACTACTTTTATCTGTTACCATTATCATGTTCAAGAAAAATGTAAATATCACATGTTTACATCCGCATTCCAGACTCGTTAGTGCAGATAGATAACATGTACATCTATATACCCTGTCATCCGATAAAGACCTGAAGATAAATGACCTGCATGCTAATTATATTGTGCAGATTTATATGCCTTGTATGTATATATATATATTTATTTGTGCTCATATGACCCTAGAACGATCATTATTCATATACTGACCTTAGGTCTCATGAATGTGTAATTTAATATCTTTATTTTATATAACTATAGAAACATGTTGTATATTATTTCTTATAATTCCAAAAAAGTTGACAGCAAATCAAAACGGAATTATCCAGAAAAAAATGCTGGAATTTCTGGCATTTATAGAGAAGTTTTATTGTTTTTTTGCAATTCCTTACCAAGGCAAAGTTCAACGCGATTGGTCATCGCTAGTTCTTGAGCCTCTTGACTTTATATCAGTTCACGATTATGCTACCGGATGGTAGCTGGCAGGGGGTGTTGATGTGTGATGCAAGTGCGCCACCCGATCACCCATGAAGGGATCATGCAGCGACATATACAGAGGAAACATCTTTGGAAAGCGTACAATTTGTTTGTAGGGGTGAAACTATCCTCAAAAGGACATGAAAGACGTACGAAGCTACGGCACCACTCGCATCGGGATAAGTGCTGAATAACGATCCATTTTTAAGTTTGTACTAACTAACTGGTTACCATTTGTTGTGTGTAATGAGACACTTCAAAAGAAGTCAAATCAATGAAGCCTAGATGGTTTATCAGAGAATTGGGCAATGTAAAGCTGAAGCGTTATGTGTTTTACCTTTGCGTTCGGCATGTGCTGTCTAGAGTGAATGATGGACAACCTATTGACTAACCTACCTTATTGTGTTCGGGATGGAATTCAACTGACAGATCGATTCTTGCGGCAAGGAATGGATGTGGACAGTTAGATAAAGAAGTGCCAGGTTTATCCTCACATTAAGTAAAGCACCGACCAAACAGCAATCGAGGAGCAATCTTGAATATTTTAACTACCTGGCCCAAGGAAGTGGTCACGATGGATTTTTTTATTCAGGAAGCATACGAAAGGGAATACTCTCATTTGTAAGTAATGGCAGACTACGTTTCACGTGACATTTCCTGTCTATCTCAGTACATAACACGTCAGCCTAAGATAAAACCGATGTAGATGTACTGTTTGTATACAGCACTATGGAAGTTCTTGTTTTCTTTCAGACGTATGGTCAATTACTTCATAGATCAGATTAAATATTTCTGTCAGAAGTCGGATGATATAAGTTTGTATAGTGGTGAGTAAGTGCGGTTGCGAAGTCAGTCGCTCATTGATGCAAAATGTACGGGTTTCCTAATGAGTTTAATCAGATTGGTATGAAGGATATATGCTAAGTGTGTTTTGAACACAAAACAGTATTTGAAAACTTCTTTTGCGAACTTTCGAAGACGTCTGGTTCCTTTGTTAAGCAAAAGAGTGCAAACGAGTGTCTCGAATGTATAATGCTGAAAGCATCGCACTAAGCCACAATGTTCCGAGTAATTAAAGTCAGCTGTCGGATTAGTACTAAGACATTTCGTCAAAATAACACTCTAATACTACAGGCAGTCAAAGGGGCGGATAATGTGTTTACCCACTGCGCCCCTTAATGGAGGCAAAGCAACGTATAACACGGAGAGAAAATCTAACGGGACAGTCCCTATACCATATACATTAAAGAGATGTCTGAAGCATTTTCAAGAGTGTTGTATAAACATCACATCAGCACATACACTCGACCACACACCACAACCAATGAGTTCATCGGAAAAAAGGAAGAAAAGACAGGATGTTTTACCAAATTCCACGTAAGAGCTGCAACCATAGATTTGGGACACGCCAACAAAATCACCAGAAGGACGTTGAAACCATGGAACAACAAGTCAACTCTAGAAATACCAAAAAGACATAAGGGGAACAATACAAAAAAGCAGCCATTACATGCTAACAAACATAGCCAAAATATTGCATGATCTTCATCATGGTGAAGGGGGCAATTATATGGCAGAAACAGAAACATCGGAGACTGGAACAACTCCTATGTGTTAGCTGAAAAGTGAGGAAAATCCATCTTAATTAGGGGAGAAAGTGAATTAATCAAAATAGACGAGGGGAGCACAATCAGAGTCATCTTTATGAACTCATATTCACCTCCCCATCCTCAGTGTGCACCACCTTGTGAGTGAGACGAGAAGACTAGTTTGATCCTTTGATGTACATCAAAAGAATTTGTCGGTCGCGTAACGGTTCAATTGGCTGTCTTTGAAGTCGGGTGTTGCTCCTATACATTCGTCAAAGGGAAGGTATCAGCCTATCGATTGGTCAGGTTATTTTACCCGAGACCAATCAAATAACACATAGCGGAATGTGTAAACATATTACCTTCTCTCTGACTGCTTGTAGTATTAGAGTGTTATTTTGACGAAACGTCTCGATATAATCTGACGGATGACTTAACCGACTCGGCACATTAATTATGGCTTCGTGAGATCTTTTTAAAGGTTTTAAAGATCTTTTTAAAAGAAAGTAAAGGAAAGTTCGAAACGTAAGTTTTCAATTGCTGTTTTAGTTCAAAATAAAACTTAGCATATATATGTTAGGACGGTGTATTTAATAATAATTTGATATCGTAAATACATATGTGCTTAAATTGCATATACTTAATTTATTAACTCTTTCAATTAGTTAGTTATTTAAATTTCGCGCCAATTATGTTACGAACTTTTGATTTGGATCATTCGCGCTTCTTCGTAATTTGTGATAGCTGCTACGGTGGCGGCGGCGGTGGCGGTGGTGGCGGCGACGGCGGCGGATACGCATGAGTGATTTGCGGATATGGTTGACTGTCCCCGTGAATATGGAACAATAATGAGTTTCTCGCAGTTATTTATACTTAGATGCTATAACCAGTTGCTCTAAAAATAGACTTGACGTAAGGTTATTCCTCGTCCCTCAATGTTCCCTATGGGGTATTCAATCTATTTTGAGAGGGAATTCCTATGAAAGGTCATGGGGTCAGTCCCTCATTCCTCACTGGTCCCTCACTGATCCATCTTGTTAGGGAGGGACTTACAATAAATATAGAGGGAGGGATAAAGTGACGTAGAACTCTCATTTCCTATTCATCACCACGCGTGATACGTAGAGAACGTAGGATATGTTTTAATCAAATTGGTGCTTTATGGTCTGGTGTTGGTTATGTTAAGTGCAAATGAACCCTAGGAACAGCAGACAACTAATACAAAGCGTGCTATTCGATAGGATCAATTTGTCAGACAAAGCACGAAAGAAAGACAATGTTTATCACAAATGCTAGGCTACATACATTGTACAAGTTGTTATTCTGCTCTTCGAAATTTGAAACGTCACGCAACAGTTATTTAAAGATTGATAATACAGAAAATGAAAAAAGGACATTCATATTAATAAAAAAAAACTGCGCATGTATTATGCATGTGGTATTTGATATTTAGACATTTAGCTCGTTGAATTTCCATTCCATGTCTATTTTAATTTTGGTGACCTGTGGTTTAAGGTTAAATAAGTACTAGACACATGTGTTAATACATGTATATGTTGTTGAACATGTGGTTTTGTTTTAATATGTACACGTGTTTATGAGAAGTAAACGATGAACTGGTGTAGTATATTGCTTGACAACAATTAACAGACCAGGAGGCGTATCATTACGTACATTGCATGTATTTCATCATTAATATTAATTAGAACACTCTCCCAGTAAATTTCGTTCCCGCACTTTCCATGCTATCAATGTGATACAAATAGCTAAATTGTTAAAAATCACTAAAAATTCATTCATTAAATTCTTTCATTCTGCACAGGATGTATTACTTTTCATTGATCAGTGTCTAGCTAAATTTGTCTAGTATTTAAAAAATAGCCAGAGGTCTTTTGACCCTTGTACCAGACAGGATTAATGTGGTCAATACACCTTATTTAGAATGCTGGATTATACAGACTGAGAATAAAGTTACTCAAGGACAGCGTAACAAGCTGGATTATTTCATCAGATCTGGGCATGCATGAACGAACACATGCCCTTTCAGTGATCTGACTAATAACAAGTATAGTGCAATATCACAGTGTACTTCAGACTCGCGCACCTATGTCGGTGTAACAGGAGTGTACTAGGGGCTCGAGCAATAGACTATCTTAGAAACATTCAGCAGTATTAATTACAGAAGTTTGAATATTCACAATGGATTTACTTGATTTTAGTGTTGTTTTGCTGTGTTTGATGACGGGGAGTTGTAAATCACAACGTGAGTACAGTAAACTAAGATACCTGGACTATGATATATAGCTAACTGAATTTAGCTCTACACGTGGTCTTTAGTGTGGGTAATGTACAGCTCGGTCTATAGTAGAGAGGCTACACCGGGCCTTTTATGTTTACTTAATGGTTGTATATGCCACATGTATGTATGTTATTACATGTATTGTGTAAAAAGGTCATGTATTTGTACAATGCCTCCTTGTGATAAGCCGCGATACATTCGCCTAACAGTATACAATACACCAGTGCAGTAGGATAGATTGTCTATATTGATCCATACATTATTAAATAATACATTTGATAACATGTGATCAGATCAAATTAGTTGGAAATTTGACATCAATATCCAACACTGTAGACAATTCGTCAAAGTGTGAAAAAAACTAACGTACATAAATAAATCTAGCTTATCATATATATGTAAACAGTTGCTAGGTCGCCGCCATTTTGATAAATGTTTGTAATAAGTCGCAAGGAATCGGACTATGTTTTCCGGATAAATAATATCTTCATTTAAACAAAATCCCCAACAAGAAAACGAAATTGTATGTTACCGAAAGAATGGACGGTTCAAGTAATTTGAAGCGGGTGTGCTCAGAGTAAACTGAAAATACCTGTTCAATAGTCAAAAATAGAAAACGATTTTTTTTCGTTAAAGTCCGAAATATTATAAAGTGGTTTCATTATCCAAAGCGGTTTTTTATGATTGATGTTCATGAAACAATATTAGAGGTAAAAGTTTGATGTTCAGGACAAAAAACAGGGGTCAAGGTCTTCGTTTATGAAAATTGGAAAATATTTTTCCAATCAATATAGTTGTGGTTCAAAGACTCCTTGTTTGATCGGAATAGGTCAAAGGTAATTATGAAATAATAAAAAAAAAAAAAATCCTTATAGCTTTCGAATGATTCATTCATATGTAGGGTTTCCGTATCTAAGATGCTTTATCTTGATTACTTTTCATGACAAAGGGCAAAGATCAAAAACATCATGTTCAATGTTTAGAAGATCCCAATAACTTTGTATCAAGCTTGAAGTTCTCGAGTTGAAACAGTCAACGTGGAATCATTATTGTTCATTGAAACATTATTATATACATAATTCTCAGTTAATATAAGCATATAATATAGGGCTATGCCAGGTACGGGCCAAGGATTTCATGTAAGGACGGGGGAGGGAGAAATTCGCAAATGACATGTTTTGTATTCCTACTTTCCTAGCGCAACAGTTTTGGAATGACATGGCTCAGAACGACATGAGGAAGGCAATGAAATTCCAGCCCAATACTAACGTCGCTAAAAATGTCATCCTCTTCATCGGTGATGGTATGAGTATATCCACAATCACTGCCGCACGCATACGAAGGGGTCAGCTTCAGGGGCGAACGGGCGAGGAAACTGTTCTGAAGTTTGAGGAATTTCCACATGTAGGCCTCCTGAAGGTAGATATTTCATCAGGAAATGTCGTTAGGTTTGAGGGGATTTCACATGTAGGGCTTCTAAAAGACTTTCTAATGTTAGTTACATCATATACGAGAGGAAATATTCTTGAAGTTTAAGGAGTTTTATTTCTATTATTTTTGAATGTAGATATGCCATTACGAGAGCGAGTTATCCTTGAATTGAAGAGTGTCCAGATACAGCGCTTTACATGTTATAAAGCTAGGTAAACCAGGCTTTATAAAGCCTTTATGTGTTAGGGAAACGTTCCTACCGTAGACGTATGCGGCAGGTAATCTACAGGCAAGGTATCTATCGAGGAGTCCTAACGATTTATATCGATTGCATAATAAACTGGTTTGAAATACAACTGTGGATTGCATCAGATTCCGGCTGATTGACTTATACCATTACAAATTACCAAATCCTCTTCGTTGAGCTGTGACTTCATCAGTCGTATACTTTGATACATTTACCCACGTAAAGTCTCTGGATTTAGTCTTAGACCCGTAAATGTACCCGATTGGCCAACAGAACCTGCCTTCTTGCACTTTTACCTGATCAAACGTCCTTGGTTGACCGGCACATACCTTTAACCTTTACCTGTTCAAACGTCCTTGGTTGACCGGCACATACCTTTAACTTTTACCTGTTCAAAAGTCCTTGGTTGACCGGCACATGCCTTTAACCTTTATCTGCAAGTAAACGTTTGATTTGTATCTGTCAGACGTATCCGGTTGATCGACAGACGGCAGACTCAGCGTCGACTGCCACAGCGCTTCTGTCCGGTGTGAAGACCAAGTACTACCTGGTGGGACTGGACGCCACAGCAAAGCGTGGGGACTGTGCTTCGGCCAAAGGGGCGAGACTCAAGACTATGGTGGACTGGGCTGAAGAGGAAGGTAGGTATTGTGTACACTTTAAGGGTGGTTGATTAGGAGGAATCCTCTCGATTCATGTGTTACACCTAACTCTCTTCTTCAAGCTTTCTTTTTTCTTGTAACAGTTTGATAACCGTGAGGTTATGCAATGGGCGTTTTGTATACAGTCGCTTATATACAAATTGTTTAAATATTATTTCGAGGCCATTACTTACTTACTTTCAAAGACGATGTGACGCAACTTAACTGTGTGATTACCAGTAAGGGTCCCTATTTCATTGTCGCTTCTCGAATACATTGGGTTGCATTATTTACATATATTGGTACATGTTAGGTTTCTATGTTATAAAAGACTGTGTCGATAAAAATGATTCATATTCTTTGCTCAAGCATTTTGTCAATAGTTTGGAATATTTTAGGACAATTATACCCGAGTACCGTTTTCAATGTCTGGACATGATTTTTGACCGCGACACATATCGTTTACTAGTTACAAGAAATGTTTGTTTAAGCACAGAATCCACGCTTGAGTGTGAGAACAGTTCCATGAAATGGTATAAATCTCTCGGAGTTTCTAATTTCAGTTCTCTGGGTATGTAATTTATAGGAAAGTCAACTGGTATCGTAACAACCACACGCCTGACCCACGCCACACCCAGCTCAGCCTACGCCCATTCTGTGGACCGGGACTGGGAAGGTGATGTTAACATGGATGACAAAACAGGGAAATGCCGGGATGTTGCTCATCAGTTTGTCTTTGAAAATAGAAACATAGAGGTAACTTGAATGACTGTATAATAAAAAATCGGAACAACATTTCTGGAACCATCATGAACAAAATCTTGCTTTCTTTGTCGAAACAAAACATTTTTTGACATATTTACATTTTGCTGTATTTGTCTCTAAATTTCACGTGTGTCTAAGTGTAACGTTGGATATAACATTTATGCCGATTCGTGAAGAATATCTGTTCACAAAGTTTAGTTCGATTATCAACAATACTTTTGAATTTAGGTGTTTCTAATATTTCGTTACTTCCATGATCTGATTGTGCAGAATTCACTTCTAATAGCTATTTTCACTACCGTCAGGCATAGCAAAGAGTCTAAATAAACCTCCAGACTGGATTGTTCCTGAATCCGCGTCTATATGGGGAATAGTATAATGGTGAGAATGCCATCCACTAAGAATTCATCTATCCTTCTATGGAACAGGTTGCCTTTGGCGGAGGAAGGAGACATTTCATTCCTTACGATGTTGCGGATCCGGAGGCAAACTTCACCTACGCAAAATACCAGAGAAGGGATAATCGTAATCTAATTGATGTAAGTTATTTCTGCTCTGGGTAATACAAGCTTATTCAAATATATAACATGAGAAGAATTCCCGAAATTTCAAACTTGTTTTTTTGCGTAACCCCTCCGTTATATACTTGATTTATTTATAACGTCTAGTCTTATGCTCTTTTTGCAGTTGTAAAAGTTTCTATGTTATTCTTTTTTTGTGTGTCAAATTCTGCCCTAGTTTCATCGTTGAGTACGGGTTACAGTTTTATTCATACTTCGATATTTTCTCTTGCATTTTTGACAGATAATAACATATACAAATATTATTTAAATAATAGTGAAAAAGTAAAAACGATGTCAAGATGAAAAAGATAGGTATACCTACTTTGCAGTAAGATAAGAACATGTTCTTCAAAAAAACATATTTGAGTTATGCTGATGAAATCTGTCCATTGGTAGATGCTATATGATAATAACCTTTATTTTGTACGACTTAGTGCTGGAAGTTTCTGCAAGATGAGGATGGGAAACGTTTCAAATACGTATGGAACAAACAACAGTTTGACGACATAGATCCTGACAATGTCGACAATGTCCTCGGTATGTATTCTCTTGTCGGATATACGAACAATCAGAGGAAGTCATAAAATATTCGCTCAAGATGTCATCGGATACACTTCCCAAAGTCACTTAGACTATTTCCTCCTTTTCGATTTTCGATTGTGTTCTGTAATTTATGTGCATCGTTAAGTTACAAACGCATATATGAATGTATTTATAATACAACGCGCAATTGTTATATATTTCCAAATTTCTCACTTATAAAGCATCTTTCTCNGGGGGGGTCGGGTGGAGGGTATTTGCATTCTCTACACCACTGGAATATGCCATGCCGAAATTGAAGACACACCACCTTGTGGATGATGAAAGTAGTCTAATTTGATCTTGCGATGTGCATCAAAACAATATCCTATGTCATATAGGTATGACTATGATACTGCTTGCTTTTGTGGGATATCTCATACTGTTTTCGAATATGATCCAATATATTTAGGTATTTGGTTTTGAAAAACAGAGAGTGTAAATATGTGTATGTGTCTTCTTGCTGTTTATATAGGACTGTTCGCTCCTAGCCACATGCAGTACGAGATGGAGAGAGACGATGGTCCACAAGGAGAACCTTCACTGACGGAAATGACGACGAAAGCAATCAAGATTTTACAGAAGAACGACAAAGGTTTTTTCCTTATGGTTGAAGGTAAATATTATCTAAAATGTGCTCTGCATAAAAACAATGTCAAATTATTATCGGAATATTGATGTATGTATTCCCTCCAATATTAATAAGTGATTATTTCTATAAACAGGAGGACGTATCGACCACGCCCATCACGACAACAAGGCTAAGAAAGCCCTCCACGAGACTCTGGCGCTGGAAGACGCGGTTAGGGAGGCCGTCAGACTGACAGACGAGGAGGATACAATGATCGTGGTAACGGCGGACCACTCTCACGTGTTCTCTCTTGGCGGGTACCCGTCAAGGGGAAACGACATTCTAGGTACACAACCGACCATATACATTTCTAGTAGGTTACTATCTGTGAGTGTGGATTTAATGTATGTATAATATACAATCACATTTTGTTTTGTAATTGTACTATATATAATTGATTGAAAATTATTAAACGAAAAACTGAAACGATGCATGTGTTTATAATGTTTCAGACTAGTGCACGAATTATGTTTTAATACGCATCTTCACCTTACATTGCTAATGAACACTTGTTTACAGTGACAATAAAATGATTAATTAAGTGAAGTAAGTTTTATGCATTTTAATCTTGTACCTATACATATCAATAATAAGCTTATATCTCCAACCAAACATTTCCATAACGAAGAAACACCGGTACACTTGCACCCGTCTTCTCTTCCTATCAAGCTGCCGTGGATGACGTGCCGGAGCAGTACCTTCCGCCAGACCGGAAGGGGTTCACGACCATTACTTACGGGAACGGGCCCGGGTTCGAGGGCGGCAATAGGACTGACCCCCGTTACATAGACACAAGTAAGACAAGTTACTTAGTTTCCAGGCAACCGTAACCTTAATAATGTTCAGGATAAAAAGGCGTTGATAGTATTAATGAAAGTGTATCTTCAGAATATTTTCTTCTGTATTCAGTTAAGGTTCAAGAAGCCGCTTTAATCACCAAAAAAATTAATTTAATCCCCTTATATATCAAACTAAATGACCCAAACATAAGTCGGAATTCATATTTGTAATTCGAATGTATTTGAGTTGTATATTAGCTCTTTAAATGCTACATAACCAGGCTAATGTAATCAATTTTTGTTTGTTTGTTTGATTTTGTTTAACGTCCTATTAACAGCTAAGGTCATTTAAGGACGGCCTCCCTTGTGTGCAAGATGCATGCGTGTAGTGTATGTGTGTGTATTTTGGGAGGCTGCGATATGTTCGTGTTTGTCTTCTTGTAATAGCGCGGAACTGATGCCGACTTTATAGTGCTACCTCACTGAAACATACTGCCGAAGACACCCAGCAGGACGCCCCACCCGGTCACATTATACTGACAACGGGCGAACCAGTCGTCCCACTCCTAATTTGCTGAGCGTTAAGCAGGAGTAGAAACTGCCATTTTTAAAGACTTTGGTATGTCTCGGCCAGGGGACAGAACCCAAAGCCTTCCTCACAGGGGCGAACGCTCAACAAATGGCCAAAAATGAGGCATTGTCAAGGGAGACATTAGGAAAAAGAAAGTTATTTAGAAAGGAGAGAAGAGATAAGGTCCCAAATGTAATCAATAATAAGTCATAAAGGCTGATGTCATAAAAAATGCTCATATGTCAATCTCTTTTGCGACCCTTAGTTTAGTGGTTTCACATGTCAACGTCTGTCTTCATTTAAGGCTGCTTTGCCTCGCCACAACCATTAATAGGAAAATTAAGCCCTGCATAAACTAGGTTTATCAATGAACTTTGTCATTTCGTAACATTTAGCTGGGCTGCAAGAGAGATTGACATATAAGTCCAGTGAACTATTTTAATGGGGACATCCATTATAATGCCTTATTCATAACTACTTTTTTTCTACTACTACCTAGCTCTGTGCATTTTAATAACTAATGTACAAGCTCATTATATTGAAATTACACACATAAGTTCCTGTATTTAATAGGGATCTTTGAATATGGCATCGTCCGCTGAAATAACGAACTACTCGAAGGTGACGTAAAACATCTCAAACAAACAAGAAAATGATTTATCAGTGGGTTGAACTTTAGGATGAATAACCTTTACCTTTTTTACTTTATTTTTTACTAGTGAAATTGTGAAATATACGTGTGTTTTAGCTTAACCAGAGAATACGTTATACGGGAGGCTGTAACTTGACGTGCCTTTCTAATTCTTCGTCGTCTACTTTTGTAGCTACTGACGACTATGTATTCCCGAGCGCCGTGCCTTTGGGACAGGACACACACGGGGCGGATGACGTGGCGGTGTACGCCCGAGGGCCCATGTCGCATCTAATACACGGGGTTCACGAACAGAATTACGTAGCTCACGTGATGGCGTACGCCTCATGCATTGGGATAAACAAGGCTCATTGTGCACACTATAGGGTTATCAACACTGGACCGATACACACACCACATAGCGGTCTGCTACTTGTAGTTATAGCTTGTATTCTTCTATTGAACATACGTCTTTGACGCACGTTTATTCAATTTAGATATTTGGCATGTGTTCATTTTTGAAAGAAAAAACCACCAGTGAATATTATTTATTATATTGTCATCATGCGGTTTGTGAGAAACTGATTTTCGAGAGAGCGTGTATAACCTTATAACTAAAACCCGTTTGCAACTGACATAATTAAATCATTGGTCTCATTTCCTACAGATATTTCATGATATAGTCATACCTCCGAAAAGGTTTTCATAAAGTATAGGACATTTGCTGTTAAGTTAACAGTTTAACGCTTAGGATTTCTCTTTCTTGTTTTGTTAGTTATGTACAGCCAATCGACGTTTAAAGTGTTAATTTAAATATTGTTATTACCACAAGTACAATGGAAAAGTGATCATAATGTACATGAACATTATATATGGAGTTTCTCTTGGTGAACAAATATCTAATAAAAACAGAGAGACAGGCAAGGACCGTCACACAAAAGAAAAACCCCAAGTGCATTGTATATGATAGTAAGGGATGGATGTGTGTGTTTGTGTTGGGTTATTGAACATGCTGAATATGGATGAAAATGATGAAGAAAAATAGTGAAGTTGAATTTGTCTAATATAAACTCTCAACAATCTCCTCTGTGATATTAGCTTTCATTTTAAGTTCACATAAATTCAGAGGAAGAATATCTTTCATATATATGTTTGTCTTTTAAGTGCACGCATGCACATTCGCAAACAGAAGTCCATATGAATCGTTGTCCATTGACTCTGCGTCATTTTTCATTTTCAATATCCTTTGTTGTTTTTTGTGGGGTTTTTCCTCATGTTTTTCTGTTTTCTCCTTTTAGTCTATAAGATATAAGAATGTAAGTATAACAGATGTGCATGCAGCATGATTGAAATGTAAGTAGGTATGGTACGTTCGCTTAAATAACACTTGTGTAGTTTATAACATGAATGTGTGTTTTGTATTGAACAAAAACTTCTGAAAAATAAAGAAATAAAACAACTCAGTACTTGGAGTATTACATTGATGTCTATGCCCGCAATATCATTCTTTTATATCTCAATTTCAACACATTTTAAATGTGTTTTAAGTAGGGTTTGTTTATAACTGTTTAAAAATCATTTCAGACTGTAATCAGTGTTTTATAGATTGATTTAGGAGTCAATAATCTTTTTATACCAGTTCCAATATATGTTTTGTCCTTTCATTCAAATTGCTAACATACTTGAAAAGAAAACCAGAAACGACCCTAAAGGGTATATGCCTCCTCTCTCTCTTCCTTGTATTGATATTATTCCAAAGTTCACTTAAGTTTGCAATTTGCATTTAGTCTGATTGGTTTAAGTTCTGAGGGTTTGCATCGACGAACCATATCTAAATATATCAGCCCAATTTGTCGATACAATAAACCTACTAAAAATTTCAAAAAGTCAACAATTTTGCAACACCAAATGTTCAAATGCTGGAGTTTATCGGAAATTAAACCATTGAAATAGTACATGCGCATATAGACTTCAATGTAACAAATATAAGATCGATAGTAAAATATGTGATGAAAATATTTACATTTGCTCCGTTTAACCGCTATATAAACTAGCCGAGTCAGCTGTGTTTTATGAGACTATATAATAGTTTGGTGTGGTGACGCCATTACAGCTGATATGTGACGTCAAATTCATAACGTTATAAATAGTTGGCCGATATGCTTGCTACCTTTCATTTGAAAAAGAAATAATAATTTAAATAACAATTGTATACCTATCATTTAGTATAGGATTACAGATAAGTCTTCATATTATTTTATTAGTCTGTAGTCCTTATAGTCCTATTTAGAAATTTAGGAATATAACTAACAGAACGCAGTTTAATACTTATATTGATTTTTCTCAATTATTCGACGGTACATTGACATTTCTTAAATGCCTGATTAACTTGATATAAGGTCTCAATTTACCCGGTTAATGTGCCTATCTACTTGATCCTGAAACCAAGTATATTTCTCTTCGTGATGCATCTTAAACAACATATCTCGTTTCTACAAGCCGTATAAAGATGTGTTTCCTGATTGGATGATGGCCGTTCTTCTGTATTCTGAGGAATTGTGATTAAATTGCCTTTAACTTAATGAACTCGAAATTCTAATAACCAGCTTTTACTGTGATTTGTGTTGATCAGCTAGTATGAATGATTCTAAAATACAGCCATTCTAATGAGTGGGTATAACGTTAATATTTTGCATATTTATAATTTGTTTTAGACAAAATCAATGCACCGGTAATTCCGAAAGCTCTATGTAGGCCATAAACCGAATTTAGAAAATTATGTGACGTTCAGTCGCGATTACATGATATATTTCAATATTAACGTTTAAATCCACTATGTGTCCATACTAAGCTAAATCACGTTTTCCTGGGAACATAATATGTAGTTTCCCTGACGAATGAGCGTCCACTAATTACATGGTTATGTGTCTCTGGGCAATTATTTCTAGAACGTGGTCATACGTATTCCTTTTATAACCTTAACATTCGTGTTGATCAGTTCAATATACCTGTTATTTGTCAAATAAAATGCACCCACGCAAACAGGGCATCTGGGTAAAACATCCTATTAAATATACGTAAAAAGATTGGATCTAGTGAATTGTATAATTTTCAGCAGTTTGTCAGTTATTTTAAATATGTTAGATTACAGTATACGTAATGCTCCCTATCAAATTTGACACCTCTTTTACGTCATCGTGTCTTTTTTCGATATAAAGTCAACACCCCTTCAACCTCGAAATCCCACTGGTTACTGTCTTTTACGTTATCTAAGAGAGTAACCCCTGGAATTTGGAGGATTACCCTCTTTATATCGCAAAAAATATCATAAAGTATGACAATATATGTTTTTTTTCTACAAATATGTCTGCCTTGACCCACTGTGATATAGGTACATAATACATATATTGTTTTCTTTAGACTTTTTTTTCTTTTCATTATATTTCTTCCGATATATTTTGGACAGATTGTAATGGCAATGTCAAAAACATGCGACAGTCGATACCAAAAGACTTGGGCGCAATCAAATGTCAAATTAGACACAAATAGACTTCAGCTGGAACTGAGAAGACGCCGGGAGGAAATGAAGGACATTATAATCCATTAAAGGATGGATGGATACCTACGAACTCTGGGCCCGTATTGATGAATCGTTCTCATGCTCACTAGGGTTCTGTGCTCAAATCAACTTTCTTGTAACTCGCTTAAATCATATCAATCGATCAACATGTTAAATGTAAACATTAAAAACAGTATTCAGGTTTAAGTTTCTTCAAATTTTTCCAAATCATTGACAAAATAAGATTTGTTTATGAATTTATTATAATCAGAACAAGATATTAGGCTTGAGCACAAAATCCTTGTTTGAGCATGAGAAAGGTTTCATGACGACGGGTCCTGGAGGGTAAGCGGTCCCTGTACCATGACTGATTACCATCACGGCATCTCTGTCATATTTAGGAAATTCGTCGCCAGTCATCTGGTACATGGAGAACATGTTCTTCATCGTGACTCTCACTGCAATTCCGTGCGATATCTCCCGGCTATGAACTGTATTTAGAATAATATCTGACGTTACTTCACGTTTACATTGATGTACTTATTTTTTTTAAATACAAATCCTCGATTCCTAGTAGTCATGTTGGCGACCATATCTAAAATAATTCTTGTACTTACAACAGGATCTGAAGAATTGTTTAAAGTGAAAAGTTGATGCTGGGTGGCGCCGGACGCTGCACCATGGCATACTTAATAATGACCTCCTTAGTGTAAGAGGACATTGTGCAAAATGAACACATGTGAACTCCAAAACCATGCATGCATGAGGTTTGCATGAGTGACACTATTCTCCTTATACTGTCCAATAGGTTAAATTGGTCAGTGGTCACCAATAGGGAATGTGTTACCTGAATTAGCATTGGAGGCACTCAGAAGGGACTAGGTTTTAAATATAGTTAAGAGAGAGGACAAAGAAGAGATGGAGATGTATCTCAAAAAATATCGAACACAGCTAACAAAAGTTTTTTTGCATAGTATAATTTGTTTTCATCCAAATTGTGAGCCATGTGAGTTTTCTATTTTGCACGTAGACAGATCTTGTGATATGCTGTTCACTATTCACACACCTCCAGCTTGTCTATCTTTTGTACTTACATTAACATTTGGGTTTTTACCCCAATCAACATTTGGTTTTGAGCACAAATATAGCTTGGAGCATGGGAACGTTTTTGTTATACTTGCCTAGGTTATAACGATGATGTTAAATTTATCCGTCTCTTAGGTAGCTAATTAGTTTATTCATCAACAGAAAATGTCTATCTAGATCCTGATATTTTGGACAGGTTCTACCGTGTGGCGAAGACATTTTAACATGTAAACTGCACACACATATATAAAGCTGGCATGTTATATGTACTACATATGAAAGGAGCACAAGTGATTGGAAATGAAAGTCGCCATGTATGGTTGCTATGTGACCATTATTGTCATACTTCGTGTATATATCTCATTTTGGAATGCGTGTTTCTCTAATGATTAGATATCTGGGTGCACATTTGTCTGATGCTTAAGTTTGGACTGTGTATTTTTCTACGTTTTGGAGTGTTTATAATTGTCTAGAGATTAGGTTTTGGAGTGCACTTGCTAGTTGATAAGGTGTCTGATGTGGTATTTGTCTGGTGCTTAAGATGCTTAGTGAACATTTTCCTGCTAATCTATTTTTTTCCGTTTGTGTTCTTTTGGTGTTCAGTTTTTTGATTGTGTATTTTCTGGTGTACACATTTGTATGTGTTTTCGGTATATGTTCATCATCACAATTTCTTTATAACTGCAGGGAAATATGCACTTCAAATCTTTATCATTAGTTTTCCATACTTTGCGTTTTAGTACCGCATGTGAACAAGTTGCTCAGATTTTTTCTTTAAATTTTTTGATGAATGGTTCGATTTTGAATTTCATTTCTTTAATATTTAAATATCATGCATGTCAAATATTATCAAAACGACTACAGTAGATAGTTTAGTATGTGTTTCCTGTGTCAAAACGTCATATACAGTACAAAATAACACAAAGTATATCTTGGTGAGGTTTTATTTCATTGAAATGGTGAAGTCATTCGTTCATCCTCAAAACTTATATTTATATAAAGTACTGTAGATAATGGAAAATATCAACATTGAATTACATTCTTCATAGATATGTATTTATTTGCAGGGTTTCTCTATCTGGCCCACAGAGTAGTTCCTTGAAAATTGTGAGGAACAGTTTCATAGTAAAAAAACAATCAAGCTTTATATACATATCCTGAAGGTATTTTCTTCATAGGTATCCAGGAAGTATCTCCATATATCTGTAGATAGCCGATAAGTTTCTTAATAAAAATCTTGAATGTGCTTGTTAAAAGACCTCTTGATTTAACCTCATTCACATTTACAATGTTCCATTGTATATATACATAAATATAACAATATTTTTTCTTGATATGTCATTTAAATATAACAATATTATCCCATGGTAAGACTTTATGTAACAAATCTTAAAATAGAAAACAACATTGTCTAATGATATGTTACAAAGAATATGATAAGTCATTAATATTTAAAAAAAAAAAATCTAATGATATGTCATTGATATTTAAAAAAAGAAAAAGAAAAAGAATATTACTTCAGAATACCTGGTACATGTATATCATAAAAATATTGCCGCAAGTTCCTTTATTTATTAATGCTCTCTCACCACATCAAACAACTATTTTTCTGCCTTCAATTTTACTATGACATATTCCAGGGGTGCAGAGAGCGAAAGTGAGTGTAACCCCTGGTTATCGAGGATGTATAAAAATATGTCCAAAAACCTTTTGAAGCAACAGCAATAATTGATTCAAATGACAAAGTATATTTAACAGATGTGGTAACCCTTTCTTACCTTACAATCCAGAACCCCAACTTCAGTTTCTATCTAAACATGTGTACTACAAAATTCTACCAAATCTTTACCTCTAAACTCATTCACCCCTGAAATTTCATAATGAACTATTCCAACCTTTGAATTGGAAGAGTTCAAATGTGTCTTCAGGGGTGAATGAGTTAATTGGACCTGATTGGAGTCCGGTAAGACAGGTTTTCGCATATAAATCACTTTGAAGTCCGAGGGCTCCATCTTTCTACACCCTTGGAACATGCCATGACGAAAATGGAGGCACACACTTTGCTATTTGATTGGTTTCAGGAGTGAAAATCTGACCAATAGCTAGGCCAATAACAGAGTATGTAGGGACACACGACTCAATTTTATCGCTATACTAACATGTGATTCTTCTGATATATACCAAAGGATCACACTTATTTACTTTATCAGCCACAGGGTGGCACATTCAGAGCCTTCAATTTTATCATGTCATATTCAAAGGGTGTAGAAAGGATATGTGTATCAAAATGGAACCCTTGGATTTCAAAGATGGATATGAATTTGAGATGTATCATTTTACATATGTTCGTGAGACACCAGGGTATCGACTCTACAGTTTCATGATTATGGGTAAATAAGTATGACATGAGTTAGGAAGGAATATTGATTATTTCCATGATTGTCAAATTTGAAACATTAGCGTTAATTAAAACTTCTTTGATATAAAATCCTGACCAACAAACAAACAAAATATCTTGTACAATATTTCTTTACTGCAAAACTGAACAGAGCAGTATTGATAATGTATCAACGTCACATAGTTTACTTCAAATATACTCTACATAGCCTGAACAGAGCAGTATTGATATCAACGTCACACAGTTTACTTCAAATAAACATGATTTGCAGCGAATAAACTTATAACATTTTTGTGAGAATTTATTTTCCATCTCAAAATTGAATAATACACATAACATGATGATTTTTCAAACAATTTGACAAAGTTTTTTTTTTGTGAAAAATATTCTTCCTTTTCAGAATATTTCATGGATCATAATTTTATTAATTAGCATATGACCCAATAAACCATTAGAATATGTTCTCGGTGAAAATATGCAGTTTTATTGTACATATACTGGAATTTCTTCTTTTTTTAATTACTATTATTTTTTGCCTTTCATGTGATTTATTTACTTTTAAATATTGATAGCTTATCTGGACCGTACTCCAAAATTCCTTTAAAATATCAAAAAATCTTCAATTTTGGCTCTAACAAAGTAATTAGAGGCTTCAGAATAGCACAAATGATTCAATACTATGATATATGCTATGTAATTTATGTTTTAAATGTCTCACAAATTTCTCACGAATTCAGAGAAAAAATCTCACTATTTTTGACCAAATCTCACTAAAAATTATCACTGATCTCACTATTTTTGACCAAATCTCACTAAAAATAATCACTGATCTCACTATTTTTGACCAAATCTCACTAAAAATAATCACTGATCTCACTATTTTTGACCAAATCTCACTAAAAATAATCACTGATCTCACTATTTTTGACCAAATCTCACTAAAAATAATCACTGATCTCACTATTTTTGACCAAATCTCACTAAAAATAATCACTGATCTCACTATTTTTGACCAAATCTCACTAAAAATAATCACTGATCTCACTATTTTTGACCAAATCTCACTAAAAATAATCACTGATCTCACTATTTTTGACCAAATCTCACTAAAAATAATCACTGATCTCACTATTTTTGACCAAATCTCACTAAAAATAATCACTGATCTCACTATTTTTGACCAAATCTCACTAAAAATAATCACTGATCTCACTATTTTTGACCAAATCTCACTAAAAATAATCACTGATCTCACTATTTTGCACCGGAAAGTTATGGAATGTATGGAACTGTCATATTCAATTGAATTAATTAATTTCAATCTTATATCGATTCATATGTCAAATATTTGATAATTGCACCAAGGTATATAATTACAAATTTATATACAATTGTCTGTCAAATAATATAAACTGAAATACCTTGTTTCACAATTGTTGTAAAATACATTAAGTTTATATTAAACTGGACATTAAATCATTCAACAGTTGTATAATGGCTGAGATATAAATGCGGATGCATAATAACACTGTTAAACTTAGTAAACTTTTTGCCGACAAAGAGAAATATTTATCAATTATTTAACTGGTGGTTATAAACAGGTGCTCCTTAGGGAAGATTTGATGTATTATGTACTACGAAAATATCATTTTCCATAATGTCAAATGGGCCAAAAAACGCTTTTTGATGATTAAAAATATGAAAGACTTTAAAATATACAGCTGACCACAGATAATAATGTAATGTACTATCAATAAATTATAAGATTCTTTTATTTCAGGAGTGTCGATCAGGAAATTATGTACAAATCTCTAATCTTTCACATAAAGAAAAGACTACATATTAATCAAGATATATGCATGTAAACTATAACTTGGTGTATTGAGACAGGAATAATGGAATGTAACACAAATTACATTTCAAAGTTATATGTATAAATAACATTACAGAGTTTTATAGAATGTTTATAGAATGTACATAAATAACATACACAATATATATATAATATTTAATGTTATATATTAAGTTTCTGAAATGTACCCAGCAATATAAATAATGTTACCGAGTTTTATAGGACGTACATAATTATAAATGATGTACAAAATATATATAATGGGTGTAACCAGGGACAGTATATATACACTATATGTCCCTGGTGTAACCCAGGGTGATATGTTTATAGTTACATATTAAGTTTCTGAAATATTAATATGATATTCATAGAGTAATATATAATTTCCGTTTCAAAATAGAAATTATAAAAAAATAAAGTTTCAACAATGTTTCTCATTAAACTGGACTTAATGCACCACCACTGTATCATTAGTTTAAAATAGTTCTAATGAACATTTGTCACTGAGGTTTTTATACAAATTTCAAGCATGAAAATGATCCACAAAAACACACACAATTCAAATCTTTCCAAGTATGTCTGTCTTCATACCTTTAATAAACAGCTTTATTACCAAATATCAGTCAGGTGTAAAATGTGTGTAATATTGTCACATTGTCTTTCTGATATATGAACAAAGGGCCATAACTCTGCACTCCAAACAAAGTGACGCACAGTGAACGAAACCTCATAACTCTGTATGATATCTGGGCACACAAAACTCTGTCATCCCACGACAAAACTCACTTATAAACTTTGGCAAAGTCAGGTGGCATAGCATATATGTGATATATTCTCTGGGCACAGTGATACACACAATAACTGATGATGGACTGACAGATGAAGAACAGACCTGTTGGCCATCTGGAAGTATTGGTGGGGACTAATGATTTTGTGATACCCACATAACAGATAATATGGAATGTGATCATAAATATTTATATAACTAGAATTATAACCCTCTAATGTATAAATAGCACAATAGCATGTATAAAAAGTCTTTTCACTTTTCATCTTATTATTTATAGCTACATTTATCTCAAATCTGCAGGAAGATCTCTGGTTCAAATATCAAAGAATAGGAGCACAGGAACAAATTAATTTGATCATGTGTTTGACATTACAAAAAGCCTAAACATGGTAACCGACCATCAAAGTAACACTTCATTAACTGATCAATAATAGAGGCAACTATCAACCAATACAAAAATGTAAATTAATGCCTGAATACTAAACCATAGTTTGATGATCTTTGAAAGTTCCAAATATCAGTGTCTTAGAAAATGAACATGAGCTACTGCCATGAAATTGATGGTGAAAGTGATAAAATAAAACTTGGAATTGTACTTACCGCTTTTCTTAAAAGAGACCTGTCAAAATAGATCATTTGTCATAAAATACAATATGTCTTATGAGATCTGCCTTAAAAAGCCATTTTGAGAGATATGCCATGAAAAACCCTCTGTCTTAAGAGATCTGCCATGACAGACCATAGCCCATCTGCCTTAAGGGATCTGCCACGAGAGACCATTTGTCTTAAGAGATCTGCCATGAGAGACCATTTGTCTTAAGAGATCTGCCATGAGAGACCATCTGTCTTAAGAGATCTTCCTTGAGAGATCATCTGTTTTAAGAGATCTGCCATGAGAGACCATTTGTCTTAAGAGATCTGCCATGAGAGACCAACTGTGTTAAGAGATCTGCCATGAGAGACCATTTGTCTTAAGAGATCTGCCATGAGAGACCATCTGTTTTAAGAGACCTGCCATGAGAGACCATCTGTTTTAAGAGATCTTCCATGAGAGACCATCTGTTTTAAGAGACCTGCCATGAGAGACCATCTGTTTCAAGAGATCTGCCATGAGAGACCAACAGTGTTAAGAGATCTGCCATGAGAGACCATTTGTTTTAAGAGATCTGCCATGAGAGGCCATTTGTCTTAAGAGATCTGCCATTAGAGACCATCTGTTTTAAGAGATCCGCCATGAGAGACCATCAGTTTTAAGAGATCTGCCATGAGAGAGCATCTGTTTTAAGAGATCTGCCATGAGAGACCATCAGTTTTATGAGATCTGCCATGAAAGGCCATATTTGTCTTGAGAGACTGCCTGTCATGATATACCACATAAAATTGTGACCATTGTTATAAAGTTTGTATGTCATCGGAAACCATATCCGATTCATATAAAGGCTGTCAGCTCTCAATGCAAGCTCTAGAGGAGAGAGAGAATGCATTTATACAGCACTCCCTGATCATCCAAAACGTTAAATTAATACTTCAACTGACAGTGAGATAAAACAATATTATAGCACAACAAAAAAACACTGGAAAAGATTGTCCAAACAAAAATCTAATAATATATTAAACAGATACCTTAAAATTGTATTACTTAAAAATATTCATCTTATATTGCACAGAAAAATTAAAACAATACAGTATACAAAGTTATATGCACTTTAAATGAGGCCCAAATGCCTAAATTATGTACAGCTTTCAGGTAAGGAATTATTAAAAGCAACTTTATTGGCTCTCAGGCTAGGTATTTGTAAGAGATTGTTTGATTGGTAAATTAAAATAGAACTTTTCTGAATAGTTAGAGTTGATCACATCATGTTTTGGGAATAATGTATTCAGAAGGAAAAATATCACATTTGTAATCCATGATGTTGACAAACTGTTACAGGAACAGTTGTTCAAGTTGTGGAGAGAAACATAAAATATGACACCAGAATCTTATCTCAATCATCTTTACATCAATAGTCAGTCATCTGGAAATCTTTAGCAATGACTGAAGTCTAGATCAAGACAACTTATAAACTATAATTAGAAGAGATTAAGATTATAAGTTTAATTTCAATTGACAATTTTTTAGCCTAAAAAAATACTTTCAAATCTTTACATGTCAAGTTTTGTAAGTTTCAATACACTGGGCCCCCACAACAAGTAAAGACAGTTTCACCCAATCACACTTCTTCACGCAACTAGACTTTAGTTTTGAAAATTCAAGCCCTTTTTAAGAAATATTTACTCTCAAAATCAACTGTCGATCCAGAAACTAAGACTGCATTGGATACTTAGCATAGAGCTGAAAACCAACTTACAATGCCTCCCTTGCCACAATTCTGAATAGTCACAAGGGCATTGGGGCTCTGGTCACCTTCATACTGTCAAGTATTTTTGAGCATATTTCATATCATCAATCACATTCTCTATATTGCATTTAAAATTACACATTATCCATTTATAGACTCGAGCAATATGACACACCATGTAGCGGAAATAAATGAAATGATGGAATGTAATAAATGTCTCTTGACCTGATTCCTTTTTAAACTCAAGCAACATGACACAACAAGAATGAAAAGTCAGAATGTCATCAATGTCTATGGAGGCGATTCCTGGGAAGTGATCATGCTGAATAAGTAACCAGTCAGAAGAATAATGTAATGTAGCAGGCGATGATTATTTACAGCACACAATTTATCTGTGTACATTGGAAGCTTACATCGTCTGTATATTCCTCTCCAGCTAGATTCTAACTTTGCAGGAACACCTTAGGGCATTTTGGGATAGTCTGGTATAAATGAGTCTGTTTTCATTACACAACATGCTTAACTTGTACAAGAATAGTATCAGTAAAGTTGTGTTCATTTTTACTACAGAAACCACGGTTTTGTTACGACTTTTTTGTCTTTATCTCGAGTTGCCATGGTGCCAGTTTGCCAGCGGGAGTGGTGTTTACGATGGACTTTGTTGTTTTCTTGGCCTGGCTTGCCTGTAGCTCCAGTTTTTTAGCCTCTTCAACCCTGGTTTAAGAATGATACAGTTAGCAATTGACAGAACAAAACAATCAAAGCTTTAGAAAGTCCTAGTGTAAGAAGAGAGTAAAATTGATATATTTGACAATCAAATAAAATATCTGGTTCAGGAACTATTATTAAAAGGCAATATTTTACTTATAACTAATGTAGAAGATCTATATAACACACTTACTTAGCGTCAGCCTCCTTTTTCTCCATCAGCTGACGCTTCCATGCAGGCAGGTGTTTATACTTGTTCTCCTCCTTCTCTATCTAATGAACATAAAATATAGGAAATTACAGGTAAATCTAGGTCAGTAGATGGTAGGTAATTACAGGTAAATCTAGGTCAGTAGATGGTATGTAATTACAGGTAAATCTAGGTCAGTAGATATAGGTAAGAACAGGTAAATATAGGTGACGATATGTAATTACAGTTAAACATGGTGGATATGACATTAACAACCTATATTTTTCAAACCTAGACCTTTCTACATATGAAATGGAAAGGCTTTCGAGTTTTCAGATTTTCAGAAGAATTTTCAAACTTTGTTAAGGATATCTCCAGGTTTGGCTCCACTTATCTGGCTCCATTTGGAATATGCCATATATAATGGTATTATTTTCAAGATTGTTTCAGTCAGTTTTGGTTTGAATAACTCCATAAATATGACAGAAAGAGGTATCTACATATATTACAACATCATTTCCCTAATTTTACAATACTATCCAACTATGCTTTGGCCCCCTTACTGTGTTCAAGGGATATAATGTGAATATGTTAAAATCTCTGTGTCCAACTTTTCTACATAGGAAAGGGATACTATCTGACATTTATAGTTCTTAAGGTGAAGATGTTTTAAAAATTTGTATAAAATCCTCCATTTTTGTTTCCTTACAGCTTCCTTCTAGATTGAAAGTCAACCATTTAAACAACTTAAAATCCAAATCACCTTATCAGTGTCAGGTTTAGTTGAAATCCATTCTTTGGTTTTGAGAAGTTGAAGATATCAAAATGTTAACAGAAAGTGCATAGTACACCAGGAAAAACCCCGATGGATGGCAAAATATAGCAACAAGCCTTCGGCTCAGTTTCAGGTAGTCTAAAAAAAGTCTTATCAGAGTCAACCTTATGGCTCAGGAAGTGAAGTCAACGTTGCTAAGATGAGCTAGTCTTAATATGTACAATCTAACAAGTTATACCTCATGCATTGATATATACTCACCTTCGTCTGTTCCTCTGCCTGCTTCTTGGCAGACTCGGCCATCTTCCTGGCTAGCATGTGTCTCCTCCAGTCTGGCACTTTGGGATCCACTTTGTCCAGAAAATTCTTTGGATCAAATGGGTCCGTCGCTATAGAGTTGTCTGCCCCTTTTGTAGGTTCTTGATCTGCAGTCCCGTTTGATGTTTTTGAAGCAGCGACCCCATTAGATGTCTTTGAAGCAGCGACCCCATTAGATGTCTTCGGTGGGACGTTCGCTTTTGATGGATTTTGAGGAGGAGGAGTAGGAGGAGGAGGAGTAACACTTTTTGATGATGTTTTTGATTCGATAATCACCATGGATTTTTCTTGTAGGGGCTGTGGCTTCTGTGTAAGATCAAAAACAAACCATATTTATGTAAATACAACCGATATAGTACAAATATACCTTATATGACATTTTGTAAAATACCAATCATTGAAACACTCATTATGTCAAGATTTCTGGAACTTATTGATTCTGATTATAAACTCACTTTCTAACAAAAGTCCATTTTAAGAATGTTAAATACATGTATGTCCATTTTTTTTCTTAATTTCAAATTCATTTAATGAACAGAGTATCTCCATGGATTTCCAAATGTATATGATTTTTAAGGAATTACCTTAAGTGACTTTCCTTAAATTCACATGGTTACAAGGAATAAGTTTGATATTCTTTTGCAATGAAAATTTTCTAAATGGAATTTAAAAAGTAATACATTTAAGTACATTTGTTGTTGTGAACTGATTTCCATTGTCATGATGAATTTGCACTTATTGCAAATAGTGAAATAGGTAAAAAATAATTCTTGTATACAGAAGTATTCCAAAAGATTTCTAGCCATGCAGATGCAAAATCTTGACATAATATTGAACTCATAAAATACAGCTTACTGTTAACAAGAGGCCCAGAGGGCCTGTATTGCTCATCTGGGTTTTTTGTTACATGAAACTGACATATAGGTAACTTCAGACCAAATTTGGTAACTAGAACACAAGACATTCTAATAATGAAGTAAGTTTACAACAATCCATCCCAGGTACCTACTGGCCAAATAGCATGACCCTGGGCCTTATGGAACATGAGAAGAAGATTGTTAAAGCTTTTAACCAATGTTGACCTTTGACCCCTGACTAGCACTTCAAGTTGACCTTTGACCTCATTACTCTTCGCACTGCTAGTCTACATAACATACCCAAGTATCATGACTCTAGTCCAAATGGTACTTAGGATATTGTTGTTTGAAGTTTTTAACATATTTGACCGCTGTGACCTTGAAAGTAGGTCAAGGTCATTTTAATAAGGGAACTTTATAGCACTTGATCCCAGGTACCTTCTGGCCAAATAGCATGACCCTGGGCCTTATGGAACATGAGAAGAGAAGAAGATTGTTGAAGCTTTTAATCCATGTTGACTTTTGACCTCTGACTAGCACATAAAGTTGACCTTTGACATAGCCATCATTACTGTTATACATCATAATATTCGAACTGCTTGTCTACATAACATACCCAAGTATCATGACTCTAGTCCAAATGGTTCTTAGGATATTGTTGTTTGAAATTTTAAACATATTTGACCCCTGTGACCTTGCAAGTAGGTCAAGGTCATTTTAATGAAGAAATTTTACAGCATTCCATCCCAGGTACCTACTGTCCAAATATCATAACCCTAGGTCCTCCAGTTCTTCAGAAGAAGTAGTTCAAAAGAAATAGATAACGGACAGACGACGGATGGACGGACACTGCAGTACGGCATAAGCTATAACATGGCCCTTCAGGCAAGTTGAGGTTAAAATGAGAAATATTAAAAAAGCTGTACCTTAGCTTCAACTTGGCCATTTGACAGCGACACACTCGTCACATTGTCAGTGACATGTTGTCCATTTCTGGTCACCTGACTTCTCTCGCTGGACTGACCAAGAGCTTTTGGGCCATTGGGAATTTGACTATTCACTTTCTCATTTGATCCGAATGAATATATACAGGTCATGTGACCTTCCTCTCGTGGTTTACGGGTTTTCCGTAGGTTAGAGTTCCCACTGGCTGCAGCTATTTTAAGCTCAGCTATGAGGTCATGCTTGACTGGTCCAGCTATAATGGGACTTGTCACGGAGCTAGGCGGACTTGACACGGTCGATGACTGTGCAGACTTTTCCATTGACAGACTGTTTGGTCTGGAGAAACAAAAAAATAACACCTGGTAAATAATTATAAAATAAACTGTGGTTATGAAATTTCTTCTGGAAAAATTTGAGTATGTATAGATAAAGATATGTATAGATAAAGATATGCATCAGTGAAGGTATTTTGCATTTTAACATACATTTTGTCTTATAAGAATAAGCATTGGCGGATCTGAACTTTTTTCCATAATAGCCCAATGGTGTGATTTTGAGATTTACTTTCAAACAAATGCCAATAACACAGAGAATGTTTTACACCAAAATTCACCAATAAAGCAAAACCTTACATAGAGAGGCATTCCTTTTTAATTAAGCACAACCAAAGTAAACCAAAATTTATATCTGATTAAAGCTATACATACTGCAAAATGTTGTCCCTACTTTATATTCACCTTTTTGTCTTTGAAAAGAAGGCAAAAAACCCAAATGGGGGCAAAATATTATATACCGTCACAGACTAACAGTAAGTAAAATCTCAAATAAATCATGTCAAATTATATCAAATTGGAAAATGAACAATTCCAAACTATTTTTTACTTTCAGACAAGCTATGGTTTTCAATTTGCAGAAAAAAGATATGAAAACCTTACAAATATAACACCTTTAACAATAACCTTACAAAAAAGTCTTGATATACAGAATTTCTTTTGAGGTTAAATGTTACCAGCTCAAACAGATTAAAAAGAGAAAAGAATTGAAGAAACTTTCAAAAGATAATACTATCCGACACATAAAAGATTGTCAGAAGACAGCCTTTAATAATGACGATTGAACAATTTCAACCCAGATCACCATAGGCCTATATGATTAATATTTCTAAAGGCATATATACATGAATGTACACCTTATGGGTTAATTTTTTGTCTTAGATTTGGGAGTACCTGTTTTTATAAAGTTTTTCATATTATATATGGTCTGATAACACTGTAAAACATGTATTGAGATCATTAGTTAATTTGGCTTTTAACTCATTTAAAGTCAGTCTATCACATGTACAGTCATTAATTGATTTGATACCCAAATCTATTTACTGGCAAATTAAAATGCACTTAACATTTAATATTAGTGTTTTGAATATGACATCATGCTATCTCCCCTTTACTCACCTGTCCATACTATCATATCGTATCATTTCCACTTTTCCAAATTTCACCATTGAAATGAGAATAATATTTACACTTCCAGTGTCTGGAAGTCGCACTTGTACATCAGAGTGCAGGAAAAGCCTACATGTACACCACGTATAGCATCACTCCACGCTAGCTGTCCATGTACATTATTGGTCATCATTTTACACCGATAAAACTATCATCACCTACTGACAATCCGTGACAAGAATAGCCTGCTTTTTGCGACGTATGTGGTAAATGACTATTGTCTAACATGGTGCTTAACACTCATCACTGACCGATCCATAAAACGTGTCGGGACACTGACAGTGACAGAGTGGTGGTCAATAACATTACAGGTAAATCACAAGTGTTTTTGTGTAGAAAAGTGTATATACCTTTACATACCTGTATATAAGTACTGGTGTATTATATAAATATATAAATTTTCACCCCTCAGAAAGCATAGCTGACCTCGGCTTCGCCTCGGTCAACAATGCTTCCTTGGGGTGAAAATATGCAATATCGCCCTCTCATGAATGTGATTTTTATTTTATTATACCGAGTGTCATGTTTAGGTGTTTCACCATTCCACCATTTTTAAAGGTTCTTGTGTTGATTTGACATAAACCAAGACTTCATCTCAACAGTTGTCGAATGAACCAATCATGAGTGTGATTTGATAACACCCTGGCACTGGGACGAACCATGCATGCATACGTTTGGCGAATGTGATATTTTTTGGAATGTCACCCTGTCTTCTTTATCTTTGTAAAACGAGCAAGTAACATTGAAAATGTTCACATCTTTCTCAACCAATCAGATTACGAGATTTTAATAGAAGGTATAATAATAATTTTTTTACAATAATGTGAAGTTTGACTAAAATCCATGAAAGAATGAGGCACTAGAGTGGCTGACAAAGATTTTCTAAAATAGTAATAGTGACCTTGTCTTGCCCCGATTACCTTGAAATTGTCCAAGATATTTAAATTCTTTACAATAATGTGAAGTTTGATTAAAAACTAGGAAAGAATGAAGGCGCTAGAGTGCTGACAAAGATTTTCTATTTATAGTAATAGTGACATTGACCTTGATCTTATGACCTTGAAACTCGAACTTGTCAAAGATATTTTAATTCTTTATGAGTGTGTGAAGTTTGATTAAAATCCAAGAAAGAATGAAGACGCTAGAGTGCTGACAAAGATTTTCTATTTATAGTAATAGTGACCTTGACCTTGATCCGATGACCTTGAAACTCGAACTTGTCGAAGATATTTTAATTCTTTATGACTGTGTGAAGTTTGATTAAAAACCAAGAAAGAATGAAGACGCTAGAGTGCTGACAAAGTTTTTCTATTTATAGTAATAATGACCTTGACCTTGATCCGATGACCATGAAACTCGAACTTGTTGAAGATATTTTAATTCTTTACATGTGTGTAAAGTTTGATTAAAATCCATGAAAGAATGAAGGCTCTAGAGTGCTGACAAACCTCTTCGGACAGACGGACAGACGGACAGACAGACAGACGGACCGACAGACAGACGGACAGACGGACAAACGGAGGGGAAAACTATAGTCCCCCCGGTTTCACCGGTAGGGGACTAATAATCTAATCTACAAGATCTTTTGTCTTTTAATAATAATAATAATTGGAGGTTCTTATATACCGCTTTGTCACAACCTAGTTCGTTGGTCGTCTCAAAGCGGTTCACAAATGCTAAAATTAGCCAATTAATAACCATTAAATATAATAATAGTTTTACAGGAAAATGAAAAGAAAATTTGTTTGCAGTTTTATTTTGCAAAAAGTTAAGGTCCTACGATGCCACAGAAATGAGATTCACAAAAGTTACTTTGGTAGGAATATTACACAATAGAAGAATTATAAATTCACAATATATTTGAATGTAAATTCTGTCTCCAGTTTAGACATCTGTAGTCATATAACAAATACAATAAAAGTTAAAGGTGATGGAGCCTATGTCAGTTGTAGGTTTGTGGGTTGATCAGTGGGCACTTCACTTTGAGTACGGATACCAGAAGGTATGCAGGGCGATTACAGAAGTTTGATATATACCTTTAAAGTAGGATCATAATCACAACATACTCAAGCATCACCAATTAAGTGGGTTCTTAAAAATAAACTTAAAAACCCACTTATCAGTGATGCTTGAATACGTTGTGATTATGATCCTATTCTAGAAATATAATAATACATATACAACAAGTTAATCAAAATTATCTTTTTCATACCACTTCCCCTTCCCCTCCATTAAAGCAAGTGCATATAATTATATATGTTCTTGCCAGATTACAGATATAATACTTCAGTAAGTATACGTAGTAGCCATATTGTTTAAAATCAAGAGGTTGTTTCTTAGAATTGAAGTCTCAGTATGAGATATTCTGAATTATGATCTGGAGCATTTTTCTATCAATGTATCATAACAACAATCCATACTATTGACCAAAAATTCCCCCTTCCCCTTTTCTAATTTAACTCTCAATAATGCTGAAGTCTTTCTTCCAGAACAGATTCTGTCAATATATAACACACTGTTGTCACTGTATAACACATCGTTGTCACTGTATAACACACTGTTGTCACTATATAACACACTGTTGTCACTATATAACACACTGTTGTCACTATATAATTCACTGTTGTCACTATATAACACACTGTTGTCACTGTATAACACACAACTGTCACTATATAACACATTGTTGTCAATATATAACACACTGTTGTCACTATATAATTCACTGTTGTCACTATATAACACACTGTTGTCACTGTATAACACACTACTGTCACTATATAACACACTGTTGTCACTATATAACACACTGTTGTCACTGTATAACACACTGTTGTCACTATATAACACACTGTTGTCACTATATAACACACTGTTGTCACTGTATAACACACTGTTGTCACTATATAACACACTGTTGTCACTATATAACACACTGTTGTCACTGTATAACACACTGTTGTCACTATATAACACACTGTTGTCACTATATAACACACTGTTGTCACTGTATAACACACTGTTGTCACTATATAACACACTGTTGTCACTATATAACACACTGTTGTCACTGTATAACACACTGTTGTCACTATATAACACACTGTTGTCACTATATAACACACTGTTGTCACTGTATAACACACTGTTGTCACTATATAACACACTGTTGTCACTATATAACACACTGTTGTCACTGTATAACACACTGTTGTCACTATATAACACACTGTTGTCACTATATAACACACTGTTGTCACTGTATAACACACTGTTGTCACTATATAACACACTGTTGTCACTATATAACACACTGTTGTCACTGTATAACACACTGTTGTCACTATATAACACACTGTTGTCACTATATAACACACTGTTGTCACTGTATAACACACTGTTGTCACTATATAACACACTGTTGTCACTATATAACACACTGTTGTCACTGTATAACACACTGTTGTCACTATATAACACACTGTTGTCACTATATAACACACTGTTGTCACTGTATAACACACTGTTGTCACTATATAACACACTGTTGTCACTATATAACACACTGTTGTCACTGTATAACACACTGTTGTCACTATATAACACACTGTTGTCACTATATAACACACTGTTGTCACTGTATAACACACTGTTGTCACTATATAACACACTGTTGTCACTATATAACACACTGTTGTCACTATATAACACACTGTTGTCACTGTATAACACACTGTTGTCACTATATAACACACTGTTGTCACTATATAACACACTGTTGTCACTATATAACACACTGTTGTCACTGTATAACACACTGTTGTCACTATATAACACACTGTTGTCACTATATAACACACTGTTGTCACTATATAACACACTGTTGTCACTGTATAACACACTACTGTCACTATATAACACACTGTTGTCACTATATAACACACTGTTGTCACTGTATAACACACTGTTGTCACTATATAACACACTGTTGTCACTATATAACACACTGTTGTCACTATATAACACACTGTTGTCACTGTATAACACACTGTTGTCACTATATAACACACTGTTGTCACTATATAACACACTGTTGTCACTATATAACACACTGTTGTCACTGTATAACACACTGTTGTCACTATATAACACACTGTTGTCACTATATAACACACTGTTGTCACTGTATAACACACTGTTGTCACTATATAACACACTGTTGTCACTATATAACACACTGTTGTCACTATATAACACACTGTTGTCACTGTATAACACACTGTTGTCACTATATAACACACTGTTGTCACTATATAACACACTGTTGTCACTATATAACACACTGTTGTCACTGTATAACACACTGTTGTCACTATATAACACACTGTTGTCACTATATAACACACTGTTGTCAATATATAATTTACTGTTGTCACTATATAACACACTGTTGGCACTGTTTAGCAAGTCATGGTGATCAGTTTGGTTATAGATCCAGAGACACTCATGAAAACAATGACATCTCATGATCAAGATGTCTGTTTTTGATTCAGGTAAAATCATTAGTGACTGAAAGAGCTAGGTGACATGTACTGATTACATTGCATTTTTTACGTGAAATATTGATCTATTGATGTTAATTTAATGACTTGAACAAAAAATTCAATGCATCAAAATGTCACATAAGCTAACATATATAGATACATATTTGTATGTGTAATGAAAGTAGTGTACTACTAAAATTAAATTGGATCAAATAGTGGGGATTTAAGAAAGGAACACTCATTAACCTCTGAGAGAGAGTTTTCCTAATAATTCAGTATTATAAACATCATATATCAATTTAAATCTACTTCAAAGGCTACATATGTACCCTCATTGTATCATAATTAAAACATATTTAACTGTCATTGATTATGGAACCTGACCAAACAATATGGCTAAATGGTTTTTGGTTAATCTGTGAATTGGTAACTATCACCTGATATACATCAAGATATAGATAGAGTATGTAATCAAAGCTGTGTGTAAGTATAGTGTATGACAATACAAGCATACATTGTTTATGCAGAATATTGTAAAAACTTAAATGGTTTGTATACTTTATAAAGTAAGGGCAAAGTAATACATATTTAATAGCATTCCATTATACAGATTATATTGCAAAAGCAAAGTGAACAGTGGCTGCATTACCACAGTACCACACACTGAAAAGGAACAATACCATGCAATGCAATCACTGATTCTCATCATTCAAAAAAAGGAGAATCTTAGCAGAATTTCAAAATCTTCTGTAGTTTATAAGGATAATCATTCTTTTAATCTTTTAAATCTTTTTAATTTTGAACTGATGATCAAAAAGGATGCCATGCTAGTATTAAATTTTGATAGGTGACATCTCTTCTTTTGTTCTTTCATCATGAATTGATCTAAGAATGAATACCTATATTGTTGATTTTATTGATGAAGATGGATCAGAAAGAGCATGCACATGTCATGATAAGACAGTAGTATTCTAATACCTACTCTGAGATAAACTCTACAATAGATCTCACTGTCTCACTGGCACAGAATACACTAAATTGATCCAAATACAAAACATATAGCTCATCTGTCACAGAACATGTATTGAGTCAAGGGAGACAACTCAGGCCTTACCTTTCAAGCCGTTGTAGGATCCCATTGAGGAGGGTGTGGTTATTAATTACAGGTGGAGCTGAAGCTGGCAGTGGTGGGGGAGGGGGAGGGGGTATGGGTGCGGTGTTGGAATCAGCTGTGGGAAGATATACTGGTTTTCCTGTGGATGACACTTGTGTGTCGGTCTCTGTAGGTAATACTGACCCGGCCCCGCTCTCCAAACCACTGTCTGATAGACGATGAGATTCGTAACTTTCCCTTGCACCATTTGACTCTCCATTTACAGTCTTCTCTCGAATCACAATATCCTCACTCGACAAATTCACTTCCGTTTCCATCCTTCTTGCTCTAATGGCTTTAAAGAGTTCCTCTTGATGAGTTACAGGGAAGCTCCCTAGAGACGGAGATCGAAGTGATGATCCAGACACAGATATCACAGAATCCTCTGGCTGAGACGCTGACTGAGACACATGAGATGCTGACTGGGACACAGAGCTCAGAGAACTAGCAATAGATGACACATCACTACCTGATCCGTGTCGTCGTAGCGATGATAGGTCACTGTTTGAATTCCAGGAATACTCACTAGCTGACCGATGACGAGGCGGCAGTGAGGAAACGTCACTGTCCGACTTCTGACACAGAGCTTCACTGGAGGGCAAATTGTGAGGAGGAGATAACTCAAGGTCAGGCTGCGAAAGTTGACGACGTAACAAAGATTCACTCTCACTGGACTCGTGTGACTTTACCGACAAGGTTACACTGGACTCACATTCACCGGTTTCCTCTGACTGAAAGCGAATATCAGGGTGGTGTGGGAAGTCTACCGAGGCTGAAACACACAATTACCATTGTTACACAGCTACAATCTGCTAAAGAGAGTTTTGTTATCATTCTTAAACCATCAAGGGGTGGAGACCCAACGCCTCTGCAAGGATGTCAGTTCAATAGTGTTGGTAGGGATCCTGGGGTGGATACCTTAATGGTATTCAACAGTGCTCATCAGGGAAAGCAGAGCAAATGAAAACAGAAATGATGAGCAACAACACCACTGAATCCGGTATTAAATGTGATGCTTTATAGTTATGAATATTGTCTTTGGAATATACTTATATTGTAATTCACGTGACTAAGCCAATCAGATTGAGTAAAGATAAGTCAGCTGCAGTAGCTTTTTTTCTTTGTACATTTACAAAAGTTACCAGTATGTACTAAAAGAGCCAAAGAAATTGCTATCACCATTAAAAGGGAGTTAACTCAAAGAATGCTCTCATTGATAGCAATCCAGATATTTCTCTTGTGGCTCATTATAAGTTGTCATACTTATTGTGAATATTCTGTCAAGGTAAAAAGTATCTAACTTAGCCAGTTTTGAGCATACAAATAAAGAACAGAAGGGTACTATGATGTGCCAGTTTTATTTTCCAATTATACTGATGCATTTCTAGGAAACCCCGAATTTATTTCTTGATAGGATCATTTGCCGGTAAAATATTGTTGAAATCAAGTATGGATGTCATATACAGGTCTGTGGATGTTGCTGATCAACCAAAGATATATTAACTGTATAGAATTTAATTCAGACTATATATAGCTAATTAAATACTCACACACATAATCATCGTCACTCTCAGCATCAAAGAAAACCTCTAGTGACTCTGAAGAACAAGACATTTCATTAGTGCACAGATCAGTGAAGAAAAGTCCATTAAGATTTATCATCACATAACTTGTAAATGACTTTGGTATGTTTATACGGCTGTAATGCAGATTTATCGAGTAATGTACATACAATCAAAAGCAATTACTAATTTGTGAGAAATAACATGATGACTTATCAACAAAAGTGAGTGAAATAATGACATACTTTTATAAGTTTCTCTCATATTGTTCATACCTTGTATACAATAGTACTTTATTTATTATAACACTGAGTACAATGTAGAGAAGGAACGGTGTTCACACCAGAAGTGGCCATTATATATTACAATCAGTGGTTCTGATGTAACAGCAGGCTGAACTTAACAGGGTTGCTGTTAACTTTGTTCTTAACTCATTCACCCCTGAAATTTCATAATGAACTATTCCAACCTTTGAATTGGAGGAGTTCAAATGTGTCTTCAGGGGTGAATGAGTTAATTTCATCTAGTTAGAAACGCGTGTAAGAATGGATGTGTGAAACAAAACTTCAACATAGCCAGAAGTTTTCATGTGCTTCACAACCAGACTTTTAGTTTGAATACAGTTTCATTCCTTCACTACATTAAGAACAAAATTTAAGAATCTGTCCAGTAAATCTCTTTTAAAATGCTTCTAGCAAAGTGGTCAATTATATAATTAAAGTCACCCAAAGTGGTTTACATGTACTTTTATATACAGTAAATGTGAAAACTAGGCAAGTGATCTGTTAATAGTCTGATCAAACTTTATTTTCATAACAGAAACGTTTGGTTATTGCTACATGTACAGGCATTACTGATATTTAACTCAAATTGATATGAGTCCATAACTTTACTTTTTATGTCCCTTTCTGAACCTTTCCTTAATATTATTAAACTATTTACATTAAATGATACTGCAAAGTTCACTGCAAATTATTTATGAATAGATAGGTACCAATTAACTCGTAAACTTAAAAGGTTTCACTCACAATGAATTCAGGAAAATAATACAAATATATAAAGGTATATGTCCATGCACTGAAGCGAAGTTTTCTCCCAGGGATATGTATGACCTGCCTCAAGGTTTTACTCTTAGTTATTAGTTACTACCTTCACTATAACCTGCAATAATTTTTCCCTTAGTAACATTTACCAACCATGCTTTCAGATATTTCTTCTTTGAAATACATGTATCTTTCCTGCCTTGAGGTTTTCGTACTAGTGAACTCTTAAATGCTCAGAATTTCGCGTGGATTCTTTCCTTATGTTGTACCCAACTTTCCCCTAGTCTGAGCTAGAGACCTCTTACATGTCTGGTTTTTCCACCTGATTCATTGTTAACATGGCATCTTTCAGCTGGATTTGTATTTAAGAGAACAGTGACAACTTTCCGGAGAATTTCTATCGTAACATTCTTTATACTTTTAGCCATTACAGGCATATAACATAACTTCGGACAAAGTCAATCAACACTTTCATGGTTTCCCTGAAATAAATAATATCTATATTAAACCAATGTAAGACCTATTTTAGAGGTGTTTTAGAGGTCGGACACAGATTGCCCCCAATGTCAGAGGTCAATCCCAATGACAACCAGCACACCAGAGTCAACACTAGTACTGTCAAATGGTTTAGATCTCACAGCCAACCAATGCTGGTCTCTCACCTGTCTTCCTATGGGTGGCTGTGTTCCTGGCTACCCCTGAGAAGTCGGAGTCGGGCAGCGCTAAACTGAAGGTCGCAGGGTCAAGTGGGTCAGTTGAGGGCAAGGGTGAATGTGATGGGGAGGAGTTGAATCGTTCTAACTCTACAATACCAGTCTCATTCTCAAGAATCTGAAATACACGGATATAGGTCAGTTAATAATGGCCTTAATAATGGCCTTGACCTTGACATTAGTTTACTTTGTACCAGGTGGAAGGTGAATCCTAGCCTAGGACCATTTGTTGATATAAGCATTTGCATTACCTAAATCTAAATTAAGGTCATTAAAACTACATAACATTTACTGCTTCATTAAAAACTCTTAGTTATATTAAGTACAGTAGCTGATTTAAGTAGCTACAGATTAAAAAAATGATGTATACTTTAATCAAATAATTTTGATATTTTTACTGATCTGATTTTTCTCCGTTGGATTTGAGTACCTGGTACGGTAAGAATGCAGAAGAAGCAAACTGTCACCAATAATAAAATCACGAAGCCAATCCAAGTCACAAGTACGAGTTAAAACATTCTGTATTTTTGGCCGAACAACCTTTCCAAAATACTTACCATATAAATTTTAAAATGTGTTGGTCAGCACCATACTGATACTACTTGGAGTTTTGTGAATTAGTACAACACCGTTAAGTGTATAACATTGATAGTTGAATATGTCAAGTACAGTGTGCTTTCAAAGTTTAAATATATATAAAACACATTTCAATATTTGAGCATTTGGATAAAATAAGAAGAAAATAAATTTAAAAAAAACCCCATAAATTCCACGGGTCCAACTTTGTTTGTCATAATTTTTACCATCTTCTGTATATTTAACATAGTTCTGATGTAAAATTTCTTCTCTGCAATTAAAACAGGTGTAGTGTGCCCATGTAATGATAGCCAAGGCCTTGTCATAAAATATCTATATAATTTTACAGTTTTCTCTTCCAAGAATCCATTTTTATAAAAAGTACCGAAATTTTAGGGCAAGCCAAGAAACAAAATCACAGATAGGAAGGCAAAGTAATACATTTATTTAATCATTAATCAATGGAAAAATCATGTTACTCCACATGGCTTCGGAGAATCATTGTCAATAAATTTGAATTCACAGCTGTTAATTGAATCAACATAATGGGTCACAATACCATCCAATTGAAAAATTATACACCTTTGTCAAATAGTGGACAGCTGTAGTCAGTTACAAGGGTGAGTTGCCTCATATACTGTACAGCACCGTCTAATGTTTGCTAAATGAAGTAAAAGCATTATCTGTGCAAATTACAAATAGTGACATCTATATATGAAAGATGAATTCAAGCTTGCCCAACAGATTCATCTATAGAAATATTAGAATATTTTGAAAACAATCACACTCAGAAATAAAATAAAAGCATTACTTGTACCTGTGATGTTTGCAGTTTGGTGTAAAAAAATCACTTTGTGTTTCTTACTTTTACGTTGAACATTGTTTTTAACATATTTACTATAAAAATGGCGAAACAAATATGGGTAGTGTAAAACATTTTAAGGTGTGAAGATTTTCATTAAATTTAAACTTGTTATATTAAACCACAAATAAAACATATTTGAACAGTTGCAGATCAAATAAAAGATGATAATGGATTAAGTGTCTAAAGATACTCTGTTAATAGCATTTAAGAAAGAAAGAACAAACAAAGAAAAGAATATTGTTTGCACACTGGGCCAAATACCCGATATAACAGCAAAAATAGAAGCATGGGAAAAATGCAACAGGCCAGTTCAGGTTTTGAACTCGAGACCTCCTTTAGACAATTCCTCTAAATAGCCTTGCTTACATATGGTAACATTTGAAAATAATTTTAGATAAAAAATAAAATGCAGAATACATCAAGTACAGCTAGCAGTTCAACATCTAATATAGTAATATAACCCTAGATATACAGACTACAGTCAAACCTGATATAAAGTTCACCAAGTCCCTATATGTATGGCACACATACAAATAGCACAAATGTTCCTATCTTACAGACAGCAATATTCCCAGTTCTTGTTTGTTGATAAAAATAGGTTAACTGTCTTTAAGAGTAGTTTTAGTTCTCAACCTTCTAGGAACACAGGCTTGGCTGTATAATGAAGTCACTAGAGTGGCCCCCTTCTCTTGAATATTTCATAGATATTTAATCATTTAGAAGAAAAAAAACTAAACAATTTTGATTACTTGAATGTCTGATTTTAGACTGGCCCTCGTCTCTTGAATATTTTACAGATAATTAATTATTTAGATATTTTTTTATCTTTAATAATTTTGATCACTTGGATGTATGATTTTAGATAGGCCCCTGTCTCTAGAATATTTTACAGATATTTCAATATTTAGATTTTTTTTTTTATCTCTAATAATTTTGATCACTTGCATGTCTGATTCAAACTAGGAGGAGATACAATGTAAGCTAGTAGTAAAATGCAGTTGAGAATTTCATCATAAAAACTTAGAGTCTGGTATGAAGTCACACAGGTAAGTGTGTATATATATATGCTGTATTAGATAATAAATATATACAGGTACATGTATAATACAATATTCACACATTAATTAATTCAACTCACACAACTCATTGAATAATTCACACATAATAAGCGTTATTTTACCTGCAATTAACTTATATGATATTCTGTATTTTCACCTGAATGACAACCAGCGAGATGAGGACACCTCTTTATCACAGGAGTTCCCTTTCCTAGTAAACATTCTCCAACTTCAGCTGAAACAGCTTGCACAGTCATTGGTAGTAATGGATCATACCTTACATACACAGCGACTCCTGGTATAGACTGAGGAGAAAAATCCATTAACTTCTGAATGGGTGTTGACATCTGTTTCCATCACCATGGTTACTAATATGTTTTCATGGCGGTATGTCAACACACCACTGTTAAATTTGTACACATAATTTTTAAAATATATGCAAAATCTTTAATTCTGATCTGAGCAAGCCGATTATTATATAAATATTGTGTCTGAAACATTTGTATGCCACCAAAGTCACACAATACATGTACATTACCTTAAATTCACCAAAACATTAACTAGGCTGTCTAAAGTAGGTACACTTCGGTGACAAACTTTACATCTAATATTAGCATCACAGGTACCCTGAAACCTGTGTCTATAGTTAGCAATAACTTAAGCCGGTCTAAACTGAACCTTTAATTATCCAGAACCTGTATAAACCAGACCTCACCAGTTGGTGTCATTGTGTACCCTGTATATGTTAACTTCACTAATCTGCAGACATCAGATATCAGGTTACCATAGCTGTTAATTATAAGGACGTAAAACACAAACAAACACAATCAGGTAAAATGGTGAATAAATAGATCAATGTAACTTTTGTTAATCACAAATGAAGCTTTTCTATGCCATGTTTTTGTGTAGTTTATTCATTTGTTAAGTAGTTCCGAAATTGTTTTATTTAATGAAATGTTAATGCTCTGTAAGTTTGGAAAATTGTCTGTTTTCGTTTGTTGTCTTGTAAATAGGAATGATTATGATGTGTTTCTATAAAACTTGGATATGATACATGAATTACTGCAATAAAAAGTACCATTTAAAATTATGGAAAACAGTTCAAAAGTAATAGTGTTAAAATTGCAATTAAAGTTCTGGATTAATGGAGACTGAGTAGCAAGGTTTGACAGTATAGATACAAATTATGTGTATTTTTGCTGACATATTTGGTCAATATGGTTGTTTGTTTGATAAAGTTTGTTTGGTTTGTTTGTGTTTTATGTCCTTTTAACAGTTTTGGTCACTTAAGGATGTGCCAGGGTTTGGTGGTGGAGGACAACTGGAGTACCCGGGGAAAACCCATCTACCTGCTGCCAGGACATGGCGACTGCCCATCTAGGACTCAAATCCGCAACCTAGTGATCTTAGATGCTCAGACGCCTTTACCACTTGTTTAATAAAGCTATTGTTATCTGTACATATACTGAAGTATATCAAGGTGGTAAACGGTAGACATTCTTTGTATGTACACCACTTGCTTTACAGAAGAACAGCAAAGTCTAACATTTTCTTACAAGTGCGTCTCCAGAAATCCTATAAAAACTTATCAGTTACATCCCTTTGAATAAACAAAATTGTTATCAATTTATGCTGTAAGCAATGTGAGATATTTCAGACTAGAAATGAAGTACATGAAAACTCTGACATTTACCTTGTTAAAAATTAGCTAGGTTTTAAAGTTACCTCATTCCAAATTGAATTTGAAATAGTAAGTCTAAAAGACATACAATCGACAACAAACTCAACTAAAACATATCTGTTTAATAATTTATTACATATATAACCGGTTAACATTACATCATTATACAAAGATATCAGACTAAAATCCACTGATAATTTCTTTACAATATCTTAACAGAATAAGACAAGAACAAATTACCACTGAGAAAAGAAAATTGTTTGGCAGTGATTACAACAACTTATATTAAGGATCCCTGTCCCACTGCACTGTTTTTAACAGTAACCTCCCCTTAACTTCCTTAAGGATCCCTGTCCCACTGCACTGTTTTTAACAGTAACCTCCCCTCAACTACCTTAAGGATCCCTGTCCCACTGCACTGTTTTTAACAGTAACCTCCCCTTAACTTCCTTAAGGATCCCTGTCCCACTGCACTGTTTTTAACAGTAACCTCCCCTTAACTACCTTAAGGATCCCTGTCCCACTGCACTGTTTTTAACAGTAACCTCCCCTCAACTACCTTAAGGATCCCTGTCCCACTGCACTGTTTTTAACAGTAACCTCCCCTTAACTTCCTTAAGGATCCCTGTCCCACTGCACTGTTTTTAACAGTAACCTCCCCTCAACTACCTTAAGGATCCCTGTCCCACTGCACTGTTTTTAACAGTAACCTCCCCTTAACTTCCTTAAGGATCCCTGTCCCACTGCACTGTTTTTAACAGTAACCTCCCCTTAACTTCCTTAAGGATCCCTGTCCCACTGCACTGTTTTTAACAGTAACCTCCCCTCAACTACCTTAAGGATCCCTGTCCCACTGCACTGTTTTTAACAGTAACCTCCCCTTAACTTCCTTAAGGATCCCTGTCCCACTGCACTGTTTTTAACAGTAACCTCCCCTC